TTCTGGCCACCCGAGCCCCGACTCCACTCAAGTGATAGTGTCTGCGCCCTGAAGGTTTTGTCACCCTCAACGTTTGTCCTTCTTGAATGTCTTTGGGAATCGTTGTCTCCCCACCTCCTTTTCCTTACTAACGGTATGCCCTCAGCTTGCCTAGCTTGGCGTTTTTGTATAAGCCTCACACGTTCACGTTGAAGCCAATCTATGACCATGCCCATTTGTTCAATGGGTGCACCATCAAGGTTCTCATCACTCAAATCATCTCCCTCGTCACCCGAAGCCTTGAGTGTTTCAATTTTGCTATGACAAGGTGATTCTTCATTGGTTCTAACATGACCGCCACTCACGATTTGAGCTTCTAGAATTTCGTGAACCTTTATTCCTACGGGCTTTTCTCGGTTGGCATGCCCGGTTCCACCCGGTGCAAACCCTTCCGAGTTCTCCCTATTCATAGTACCACAATCACCCTCCATCACTGAAAGAAATAATTGGAATGAGTCATTAGACTCGTTTCAAATGTCAACTGACAGATAGGTACTTAAGACATCTCTTGGGCCAAGTCGCCGCCATACCAATCGTTAAGGGCGCCATCTTAACAATTAGAGACCTTGCAACTCAAACACCAAAAGTTCTTAAGTACAAAACGTTTTTGCTCATGGTTTTCAAAAAAAAACATTTTGAAAAGAGAATTTTGAGACTTCATTATGAAGTTTATGGACTAAGGCTCTGATACCAACTTAATTGTCACACCCCGGACCTATCCGGACACGTCAACAACCCGCCGTACAATACGAATAGTCAACCGCAGTCCAACACATTCATATTATACAAGGCGTCTTGAATATCATTCACACATATACATCCATAAACAAACATAATAAGTAATTCATAACGCAGCGGAAACATTGTTTAAAACAAAAGGGCCACACAAGGCATTTCATGAGCACGCAGGCTCCATAGTAAAATATCCATGAGCATGTTTAGAAAGGTTTAAAAACAGAATGGAGGAAGCACGAACCAAGTCTTCCCTCCTATATGATCTCTCGAGCAACGAGCACAGGAAGCAAGCTCTAGCCTCAACCTGAAAAATGGTGGTGGGACGCCCCCGAAGGGGTCAGCACTCTATAGGGCTATAAAGTGCTGGTGTGGGAGGCATCTAATAGATATACAACAAGTATTTCACACACAAGACCCTCAAATAGGGTGATAATATAGTATAGGCCGTAATCCCAGATTACCCCTTTCAAAATACATACTTACTTTATATAAAGTCAAGTAGTCGGCTCAAAGGCCCGTGTTTGTTATAAAACATTTCCCAAACCCCGTGACTAATAGTCACGACAATACATAGGGTCCAACCCTAATATAACTTCTCATTTCTAGAGTTAGGCTCGAGTACATCATCATGCACTCGCATCATAGATCTCCTACTTCATATAATCATATCATAGATCTCCTACTTCATGTATTCACCCCATAGATCTCCTACTTCATACAATCCCACCATAGATCTCCTACTTCATATAATCACACCATAGATCTCCTACTTCATATAATCACACCATAGATCTCCTACTTCATACACTCACACTTGACACTTGAATCTTATTCAAGTTCATCACAAACAACTCAAACCTTAAGTTTGATTCTATCAACATTTTGAACAATCCTTAACTAGCATCACAATACTATTAAGATTATTCCTACAACTCATTTATCATAAATGGTAGCCCCTCCATATCAATAGATATGTGGCAGCCTCCCATGTGCTAAGCATCATCATGAAATTATACATTTACATACACATAACATTCATACATGAGTTGGAAGGTCAATTTACCATATTAGCATACTTTTATCTCACATGACTCCATATTCATCAATATGGTTTCAATTCATGGTCAAGTCCATTACTTATCATTCATATCATGTTCAAGCATATTTATTCACAAAAACATGACTCAAGCATTTAGGTAATCTCATGCATAACCTACAAGTTGTAAGCAACTAGATGTCGGTCCTCACCTCAAATGAGCTTTAAAACCTTCCTTCTCGCTCCAACGACCAAAGCCTCAGCCAAGAAGGTTTTAGAACTGATTCCTTGCTTGGAGTTGAGTGTTAAACAGCCCCCTCAAAGTGCTAGTTCAACTCCTAACCGAAGACGCAAAAACAGTCCCTAGAACGGGTGTTTCCCGACGAATTCGTTCCCTAACCTTTCAAGGTTTTGTCTAGGTTAGTATCTAACCTTTCCAACAATTAAAGTCACTTTATAATAACATTTTATACACTTCAATCAGTGTATAATAGTTCTTCAATCATTTATACGATTTAGACAATAGAGAGGAAGGTTTTGGATTCAAACTTACTTTGAATACAAAAACGTATTCCGCGAGGTTGTGTTTTGCTCGGACGATTTGGAAGCCTTCCACTACTCCGATTGATGCAAACCAGACATCCACGGATTCCTCGTCTTGAGAGCTTTCTTTTGGTATCTTATACGCCTTAATTGGACGAGTGAATCTCGAGTTATGGCTCAAACAATCAGAGCTACGCACTGAAGAACGAACCTGCGGACAGCTTGCTCTCTCTTTGGCTTATCTTGGTTATGTGGCTCTCTCCTTCTCTCTTATCTTGGGGAGTTCGAATGGGGTGTAGGGGGGAGTGTAAAGGATGCCTTAAACATGCTAAGAGAGCATGTGGCTCACAAAAGAGCATGGGAGACATTGGTTTGCAATCAAATGTGAGGTGGACCTCCACTTTTATTTCTTTTTGTAATGTATTGCTCTTAAGTCAACATGCTCGCCCCATATAGTCATCTCACCCATTTTTTCTTTGTCTTGCAGGTACTCAAGTCATGTGGAGTGGTTCCCAATTGATCCCAATCATTTTGGGGTCCAAAATATATATCAATACTTCCAAAAATGGGAAGATGGGTCCTATAGTTTTATCTTTTGTCAAAGATGTCTTTTTGTACTCATCCTAATTTATTTAGAACAAGTCAACTTCCTCCATCACATTATTGATCTCCAATATGTGTAGGTTCATCACAATAATTTACTTGATGGATATCATAGCAGGAAAATCCTACTCCCATTATTTAGCTCAATAATGCCAAAGATGGGGTTATAGGCATTTATATTCTTCTTTAATCATTCTATCACTTATTTGACATTTGTCATACATATTATTGGGCTACTAGCCGTGTGGGTCACTCCCGAGTGGGTCTAGAACGTCATTCTCGAATACTTGCTATTTTTAGCAGGTTGGGCCCCAAATAATGTTTGGGCCGCCCGACCTTCCTCAAATTGTCTTGAAAGATTATGTTTCACTATTTAGATAATGTTGGGCTTTTTTTTTATTTATTAATAAGTCCCGAATAAGTATTTGCAAAACCCGACACTAATGTACGAGTTTGAATAGTACGATATTCAACCATGCACTACGTAGGACATTAATCGTTTTACAATTGTTTGGAGTCGGAAATTCGATACATATATTTGAATTTAAATTGAATTTTCAAGGACGTTCGGGTGCGGTGTCACACAAACACTCTCTTATTCTCTTGGAGAGCATAGATATTTATCTGTTTTTGAAAAATGTTTTTGGCAAATCTGTGATTGGAATAATTAATTATTAAAACAGTAAAGTTAGAACAATTAGGACATTCTCACTTTGACTTATGTTGGTTTCAAGGGCTATGTTGTAATCTTATTTCTCAAACTAAGGTAATTTTAAACTTAATTCCCAAATAGGGGTGTTTTTTGCCATGTCATCATGCGTGGAGGTGCCAAGTCACTCACCACGTCACACACTCATCTCATCCTATTTAAGTATGTTGTTCAAAATACTCCTTATAAAAAATGGAGTTGGAACGAGGGTTCGAACCCAAAACCTCACACAACTATAGAGACTCTTCTCTACCTTACCACACCATTAAACAACTACTACTCATTGTTAGATTATATCGTCTAACTGTATTTGTATAATACTAGATTCCCACCCGTGCGATGCACGGGACAAAATATAATAAAATGATATAAAAATTTTGTTTTATATTAACAATATGATCAAGAATAATATAGAATTGTAAAAATAATAAGAAAAATTCAATAATTATAATATAATAGGTGTCAAAAAATTACTTCGTATAATATAATATAGTACGGAGTATAGTATACTAAGAATAACAATAATAGCGATGATAAAGATAATAATTATCATAATGGATTGGTTTGAATTCCGATTTGTATTTTTATAAACTCATTTGTAGACCATCGTGCATTTTCATCTGATTTCATTTCTCATATGGACCCAAACTCCTTTTGCCTCGTTGATTAGTGGCCCTTATGTCAGTTATATTGATCTTTAAATCGTCAGTTATCGCATGAGAGATCAGTCTGGTCCCCTAAATTATTGTACTCTATGAACTGCCAGAAATCTGTGATTAGCCAGGCTCAATTGAATTAATTTCATGTAATTTCATGTGACCCTAGACCTTACCACCCCACCCTGACCATACCCCTTACCCCACCCCCCAACCCATAACTTCCCTACCCCGACCCCTACGAGTAGGTATGGGTGGGTATGAAGGGTTGTGGGGGAGTATGGGTACAGTGTAACATCGTGGTAAGGGTAGGGGTCAAGAGTGTGGAATTGGGGAACTGAGTGAAAAAATTGATGAAAATGTTTTCCGATTTGAAAATGGAAAACTAAAAAATAGAAACAAAAAATTGGAGATAGAAAAACTGAAAAATAAAAACAGAAAATTGGAGATAGAAAAACTGAAGTAGAAAACAGGAAAATATCTCTGTTAGTAAATAACAACCACATATATTCCTCCTCCGTTATTATAGGCTTATAGCTCGTTATTTTGAATTGATCACATGTGTTTATCCTATTCTTATGTAAGTAGTTGGGGTAGTGCCTTATATTCAGGAATTGTTGTTGCTCTCTTTGTTGTATAAATTCAACTGTAAATGATGTACTGAACACAATAAGATACACAACTTCGTATCTATTCTCTTTATGGTATCCAGAGCTTTATAATTTTTTTTTTTTCATCTCTGCCCTAAGCTCGTTCTGCCTTTCATGGCAAACCACAACCAGTCTATTCTGGCTCTTGCCAACACCACAACTTCCAATTTCAATTTTCAAATCCCACCTATCCATCTCAAACTTGAACGGGAGAACTACTCCCTGTGGCGATCTACCATTATCTCTGTTTTAGAGACCTTTGATCTTGAGTCTTTCATCTTGGATCCTTCACCACCATCTGAGACTCACTCTGTCACCGATGCTGACGGTGTTTCCACCATTGAACCAAACCCTGATTTTGCACTTTGGAAAAAGCGTGATCGCTTTGTTCTGCTATGGATTAAATCTACCCTCTCTGAGCGTGCACTCTCATTGGTTGTTCGTGCCACATCATCTCAGATGGCCTGGACAGCCATTGAAAACACGTTCCAGGCTCAAACCCGAGCTCGTCGCATGGCTATGAAACTTCAATTGCAGACGTTGATGAAAGGGTCTCTCTCTGTGATGGATTATATTGAGCGCAAACGGTCTATTGCCGATTCTCTGGCCGAAAATCTACATCCTATCTCTGATGAAGATCTCATTGGTTATATTTTGAGTGGTCTGGATTCCTCCTATGGGGCTTTCATCACAGCTTTCATGATGAAGTCTGATGATGTTTCCGTAGATGCACTTACTGGTCTTCTTCTTCAGGAGGAAGCCAGACTCGAGCAGGAGCATACGCGACAACTTGGAATCGTCTCACCGTCCCTTCCTCCACCACCGCCACCGCCAATGTCCGGCTCCTCCGCTCTCGCTGCTACCCGGTCCTCTCCCAGACCATACTCCAACAGCACCAATACCACCAGTGGCGCTGGTTCGTCTTCTACTCGCCCTCCTGACACTCGTCGTCGTAGACCGATGTGTCAACTTTGCAGTAAACCAGGTCATGAGGCTATCGATTGTTGGCAGCGCAACAATCAAACTGATTTCCCATCTCGTAGATTAAATCCACGAAATAACTCTCGCCAGGCCAATACTGCTACCACGGGTTCCTCTTCCACTGTCCTGGACCCGTCCTGGTACTTCGACACGGGTGCTACGGACCATGTCACTCCTGATATTGGCAAGATTTCTCTGGCAGACACCTACACTGGTGATGATAAGCTGCAAGTTGGAAATGGTAACCATCTGTCTATTTCTCATATTGGCTCATGTTCTTTGCAAAATCTTTGCTTGCCTAGTGTATTCGTTGTTCCTAACCTCACCAAAAATCTTCTTAGCGTTTCCAAACTTACTAATGATAATAATGTTTACATGGAGTTTTGGCCCACTCATTGTTCTGTTAAGGATTTTCAGGGGCGAACCATACTCCAAGGGGACATTAAACATGGACTTTACCGACTTCCTTCTTCCGCCAATAACATGCCTTCCACCATGGCACTCACTGGTGTACGCACAAGTCTTCATGGTTGGCATCAACGTCTTGCACATCCTCATGAGGCTCTTTTACGGCGTCTTCTCGTTCAGTTTCAACTTCCAGTTTCCTCAAATAAATTTCCCACTGTTTGTGAACCATGTCAAATGGGAAAAAGTCATCGTTTTCCTCTTCCTACATCTCATGTTGCCTCTCCCACCCCTTTTGAATTGATGTACTCAGATGTTTGGGGACCATCCCCCTTATTTTCAATTAATGGAAATCGCTACTTTGTTTTGTTCATTGATGATTGTACTAAATTTGTATGGATTTATTTCTTATCTCATAAGTCTCAGGTTTTATCTACTTTTATTCAGTTTCGTAAAATGATTCAAACACAGTTTCATAGTGACATCAAATGTCTTCAATCTGACTGGGGTGGCGAGTTTCGTAATGTTTCTGTTTATCTTCAACAACATGGTATTCAACATCGTCTCTCTTGTCCGTATACTCAGGAACAAAATGGTGCGGTTGAACGTCGCAATCGTATCATTGTTGAAAAGGGACTGACCCTATTAGCCCACTCCTCACTTCCACAGGTTTTCTGGGAACATGCATTTAAAACTGCTACTTATCTCCATAATCGCACTATCACTCCACTATTGCATTTTCAATCACCGTATCACAAACTCTATAATAAAACTCCAGATTATGGTTTTCTCAAGACCTTTGGTTGTCTATGCTATCCTTTCTTACGCCCTTACAACCAACACAAAATTGATTTTCGCTCTCTTCCATGTGTGTTCCTTGGTTATAGTGTTGCACATAAGGGGTACATTTGTTTTCACCAACCCACTTCCCGCATCTATATTTCCCGTCATGTTGTTTTCAATGAAGATGTTTTTCCCTATGATCAACAACCTTCACCTTCTAGTTCTCCCTCCCGTTTACCGCCCTCACCCAGTCCTCCCACACTGCTCCAACAGGCTGCTGCATTGCCATCCATGTCTCCACCCGTGACACCATCTCCACCATCTGTCTCTTCTCCGTCTTTATCAACACCTACACAATCACCCCCTACCTCTAGTCTGACCCCTCCTCCCCCATATCAGCAGTCCACTATTAGCTCCCGTGCCAAACAGTCCCGAGCCTCCACCTCTCACTATCGGCCGGCTACTCACAATACTCATCCAATGGTTACTCGGGCTCAAACAAATTCCTTAAAACCCAAACTTTTTACCTCTCATATCTCCTCTCCTTGCACCCTAGAACCTTCTACTTATGCCCAAGCTGTCAAATATCCTCACTGGCAGCAAGCTATGCACCAAGAATATGCTGCTCTCATGCGAAATAAGACTTGGTCCATTGTTCCTTGTCCTACTAATGTCAATGTTATTGGTTCTAAGTGGATTTTCAGGATTAAACACCACTCGGATGGATCCATTGAACGGTATAAGGCTCGGTTGGTTGCACAGGGTTATAATCAAGAGGCAGGTATTGATTTCTTTGATACATTCAGCCCGGTTGTTAAACCCACTACTATTCGGTTGGTTCTTTCTATTGCTCTTTCCCATGGGTGGTGCATTCGGCAACTTGATATCAACAACGCTTTTCTTAATGGTGACTTACGTGAAGTTGTTTACATGAAACAACCCCGTGGTTTTGAAGATCCCAACCGTCTGTCTCATGTCTGCCGTTTACACAAAGCCATTTATGGGCTAAAACAGGCTCCGCGGGCTTGGTTTACTAAGCTAAAATGTTATCTGGTTCAGCAAGGATTTCGTGCTTGTCAGTCAGATACTTCGTTGTTTGTTCACATTTCTTCTACCTCCATCATCTACATTCTTGTATATGTGGATGATTTGATCATTACAGGTACTCATCCAGATTTGATTCAGCGCTTCATCACACGCTTACATCAAGTGTTTGCTCTCAAAGATCTCGGCAATCTGCATTTCTTCCTGGGCTTACAAATTCGCAGAAACTCCACAGGTATTACTTTGTCCCAACAAAGTTACATCCAAGATATTCTCCAGCGAAGTAATATGCAGGATTCTGCTCCAGTTTCTACACCGTCTGATCCCAGCTCTCGGCTTACTCGTCATGGTGATCTCTTTCCTGATCCCAAATTTTTTCGGCAGATTGTGGGTTCTCTTCAATATGTTACCATCACCCGTCCTGACATTGCATATGCTGTCAACCGGGTGTGTCAATTTATGCACTCCCCTACCACTCTTCATTGGCAGGCCACCAAACGGATTCTGCGGTATTTACAGGGAACTTCACATCACTGCCTGCATTTCACTCCCACTGCAGCCACTTCTCTTCTTGCTTTTTCTGATGCAGGTTGGCTCTCTGATCCCGATGACAGCAGGTCTCAATATGGGTATGCCATCTTTCATGGTTCTAATCTTATCAGTTGGACTTCACGAAAGCAACGGGTTGTGGCACGCTCTAGTACGGAGGCTGAGTATCGCTCTCTTGCTTATACTGCCGCTGAACTATTGTGGCTACAACAGTTAATCAAAGAACTTCGTGCTCCCATTCATGAGACTCCCTTGTTGTTGTGTGATAATGTGGGAGCTATTTTCATGACAAAGAATCCTGTTATACACACCCGGTCCAAGCACATTGCTTTGGATTTTCACTTTGTTCGTGAACAAGTTGAATCCGGTGCCCTCAAAATTTGTCATGTGTCTTCTGTGGATCAATTGGCAGATGTTTTTACTAAACCACTGGCCAAAGCTCGTCTTAATTTTCTTCGACACAAGCTCCAAGTTCGTCCCGTCCTTGAGCTTGCCGGGGGATAACAACCACATATATTCCTCCTCCGTTATTATAGGCTTATAGCTCGTTATTTTGAATTGATCACATCTGTTTATCCTATTCTTATGTAAGTAGTTGGGGTAGTGCCTTATATTCAGGAATTGTTGTTGCTCTCTTTGTTGTATAAATTCAACTGTAAATGATGTACTGAACACAATAAGATACACAACTTCGTATCTATTCTCTTTAGTAAACATGCCCTTAGAATTTATGTCTCCACCGGAGCCAAATTCCTTTGACCATTGCATGCTTTCAATAAATATTGTTTCCATAAGATTCAGTAAGCATCATTGATATGTAAAAACTCCCTACTGCTGTTGCGATTAGGCAAAGATAAACGATAAATTAAGAGCAAGAACACAAGAATTAACGTGGTTCACGCAATCGGGGTGATTACGCTAGTCCACGGCGAACGAGAGAGAGTATGTATTATTATCAGCGTCCCAAGAGGTTTACAAGTACATAAGAGTCGTTTTAAATAGGTTTAGGAAAACCTAAACTGAGATTAGAGCCGCAGGCTCAAAATTAAGCCTGTTTTTAAAATTCCCGTCGCCTGACCCGGTCGGGTCTCTTATTTGACCCGGTCGGGTCTCCTTCACAGAACACAAACCCGGTGGAAACCAGGTCGGGTTTCCAAAACAGAAGGCTTCTGCCTTGCTGACCCGGTCGGGTCCCTTCCCTGACCCGGTCGGGTCTCACGTCCAGTGAGATCCCCCGGTCTCTGCTTCAACATACCCGGTCGGGTGGCTGACCATACCCGGTCGGGTATCTGCTCTGAACCTAAGAACAAGGCTCCATCTTCAACAATCTCCCACTTAGAGGCTTGGTCAACAATTATCTGCCATCCAAGAACATGTATCTTCTGTAAAACCCCTGATTTCTCTCTCTTTTTCTCTTTCTCTCTCGTCCGCGCCTTCTCATCAAGTATCTGGAAGGCCCGTTGAAGCCATGCATAGCTTCAACTTCTCCGTTGTCACCGCCTTGGTAAGCATGTCTGCTGGATTCTTCGTACCAAGGATCTTCTTCAAATTTATAGTACCATCTTCAATCAATTCTCGAATGAAATGATACCTCATCTTGATGTGTTTCGTTCTGCTGTGAAACACCGGATTCTTCGCGAGATGAATAGCACTCTGGTTGTCACAGTACAGACCACAATCCCCCTGTTTCATGCCCAACTCCGAAAGAAAGTTCTTCAACCAAATCATCTCCTTGGCCGCTTCAGCAATAGCCATATACTCTGCTTCTGTGGTTGAAAGAGCTACACTCTTCTGTAATCTGGACATCCAACTGATTGCCGTACCTCCAATAGTGAATATGTAACCCGTAGTGCTCTTCCCGGAATCATGACAGCCCCCCAAATCAGCATCTGCAAAACCTTCTAGAATTGCTCCATTCCTCCTGAAACAAAGAGCAATTTCAGAAGTACCTTTCAAGTAGCGTAACAGCCACTTAACTCCTTCCCAATGTTCCTTCCCTGGATTTGACATGAACCTGCTAACAACTCCCACTGCATGAGCAATGTCCGACCTTGTTGACACCATTGCGTACATCAAGCTGCCAACGGCTGATGCATAAGGAACTTTAGCCATCTCATCTTTGTCTTCATTGGTCTTTGGAGACTGCTGCTTGGAGAGTTTCAACTGACTCCCTAACGGTGTACTCCTTGGCTTGGCATCCGTCATTCTGAACTTCTCAAGGACCTTCTGAATGTACTTCTGTTGTGAAAGCTTTAAAGTACCTTCCACCTTGTCTCTGACTATGCTCATCCCAAGAATCTGTCTCGCCTCCCCTAAATCCTTCATCTCAAATTCTTCAGACAACTTCTTCTTGAGCTTGTTGATCTCCTGCATGTTTGCTCCAGCCACCAACATGTCATCAACATACAAAAGAAGAATAATGTATGAAGACTCGAATTTCTTCAAGTAACAGCAATGGTCCATCTTGCATCTAGTGTACCCATTCCGCTGCATAAAACTGTCAAACTTCAAGTACCACTGTCTAGGAGCTTGCTTCAGCCCGTATAGGCTCTTCTTGAGTTTGCACACCATCTTCTCTTTACCACTCACTGGGAAACCTGCTGGTTGGGCCATGTAAATGTCTTCTTCAAGGTCACCATGAAGAAAAGCAGTCTTCACATCCAGCTGCTCCAAATGCAAATTTTCAGCAGCAACGATACCAAGGATCAACCTGATAGTAGTCATCTTCACAACCGGAGAGAAGATTTCATTGTAATCAACCCCCTTCTTCTGTTGGAACCCCTTGACAACTAGCCTCGCCTTGTATCTTTTGCTCCCATCAGCTTCATCTTTGATTCTGAACACCCACTTGTTCTCCAAAGCTTTCTTTCCCGGTGGTAGCTTGACTAAGGACCAAGTTTGGTTCTTCTCAAGCGAATCTAACTCATCCTCCATGGCCTTCTTCCACTGTATGGAATCCTTCACGGTCAGCGCCTCTGAGTAAGATTCTGGTTCTCCATTCTCGGTCAGCAACAAATAATTTGCTGAAGGAGAATATCTGTTAGGAGGTCTTCTGATTCTGGTGGACTGTCTGACTTGAGGAGTAGCTGCCTCTGAATTTTCACCATCTTCATCACTCCCACTATCTTCAGACATTCCTGTATCTCCTGAGCTCCCACTGCTCCCTGAACCTCCTGTTGTCTCATCACAACCAACAGGTTGTGCTATGTCATCTTCAGTCATCCCGTCAAACACCACTTGTTGCTTGTTTTCTGGTTGCTTGGCTTTGCTAGTTTCTGCTGCAAAACCATCTTTATACAGGGCATTCTCGTTGAAAGTGACATCTCTACTTCTGATAACCTTCTTGCTGTGGTTGTCCCAGAACCTGTAGCCCATGTCATCCATCCCGTACCCAATAAAGATACACTTCTTTGCCTTTGCCTCGAGCTTGTCACTATCTGCATCTCTAACTTTGACATAAGAAATACAACCAAAAACTTTCAAGTGAGTAAGAGATACCTCTCGACCTTTCCATTCCTCTTCTGGAATTTTGAAACCTATGGGAGATGAGGGTCCTCTGTTGATCAAGTATGCTGCTGTGTTCACCGCATCGGCCCAGAACATCTTTGGAAGTCCTGCATGCAATCTCATGCTCCTGGCCCTCTCATTCAGTGTTCTGTTCATCCTCTCTGCAACACCATTTTGCTGTGGTGTTTCTGGAACCGTCTTCAGCATTCTGATCCCCTGTTCAGCACAATACTCTACAAACTCTGTGCTACTGTACTCACCCCCATTATCACTCTTTAAACACTTAATCTTAAGATTTGTTTCATTCTCAACAGCAGCTTTGAACTTCTTAAAAGTGTTAAAGACATCGGATTTATTCTTAAGAAAATAAACCCATACCTTCCGTGTAGAGTCATCAATGAATGTAACATAGTACCGGGAACCTCCAATCGAAGAGACCTTTGTCGGTCCGTAGACATCTGAATGAATCAACTCCAGCCGCTCAATCTTGGGTTGCTGCCCTGTCTTCACAAAGGTTACCCTCTTTTGTTTGCCTAGAACACATGGCTCACAAAAGCTCAACTTTGAATTCTTCAAATCTGGGATTTTGCCCTTTGAAGACAGCATCTTCATTCCGTTCTCACTTATGTGCCCAAGTCTTTGGTGCCACAAAGTAGAGACCCCTGTATCTTCAACTGCTGCGTTTGCCCCATCTGTGGACACTTCAACCATGTACAGTGTACCATGCTTCTGCCCACGAGCAATGACCAGCTTTCCCTTTGTCACCTTCCATTGCTTGTTGCCAAAACTAACGTTATGGCCTTCCTCATCAAGCTGTCCAACTGAGATCAACATCTTCTTCAGGTCTGGAATATACCTCACATCTTTCAGTCTCCAGGTTGTACCCAAAGTGGTACTGAGATCAACATCCCCAATACCCGTGATCTCTAGGGATTTGTCATCCGCCAAACGAACTCTTCCGTTGTAGGGCCTGAAATTTTTCATCAAATCCCTGCAATGACAAGCATGAAACGACGCACCTGAATCCATGATCCAGGACTCAACTGAATTCTCAACGCTGCAAATTAGAACATCTTCATAATCCTCTGCCACGTTCACCTCCTTCTTGCCTTTGTCTGCAGGGGGTTTTGGGCACTGATTTCTGAAGTGTCCATTCTCTTTGCAATTCCAACAATTGATGTCCTTCCGGTTCTTGGATTGCCCTCTCTTTCTCGACTTCGATCTTCCCTTCTTGTTACCTCCTCTAGTGGATTTTCTGCCCCTATCTTCAGTACTCAACAAACTGTTGGAGCTATCCCCCGAACTCCTCCTCCGGATATCCTCACCAAGGATTAAGTCACGAATACCTTCAAAGGTAAGCTTAGTGGTTCCAGATGAACTACTAACCGCTGTGACTGTACCGGACCAACTATCGGGCAAAGATGATAACAAAAGTAATGCTTGGACTTCATCATCGAATTTAATCTCAACCGAGCCTAACCTGGATATGATTGAATTAAACTCGTTGATGTGATCTGTCACGGATGCACCTTCCTTCATTCTTGTATTCACCAACTGTCTAATCAAGAAAACCTTGTTTGCTGCTGAGGGTTTCTCATACATGTTGGATAACGCCTTGAGCAGTCCGAACGTTGTCTTCTCGTTGACGATGTTGTAGGCAACGTTCTTCGC